TCTTTTGTTGCTTATTTTTCTCTGTGAAAATGTCTGCTTATAATCAGTATGGTATGACTCCATTTAATGGAAAATCTGATTATAGCATTTGGAAGCAAAAAAATAAATGTATTTTAATACAACAAAAATGTTTTAAAGCAGTTGGCAAAACCTATTTAATTTCTGACACGGAAGATAAAAGGGCTGAAATGAATGAAAATGCATGTTCTGTGATTTATTTGAACTTATCTGACTCTGATTAGAAAAGTTGGAATTTTAGAGAGTGCTAAAATTCTGTGGGATAAATTGAATGAACTGTATACTGAGACCTCTTTGCCTAACCGGATATTTTTACTTGAGAAATTCTTCAAATTTTGACTAGATATGTCTATGGATATTGAAGAAAATCTAGATGTTTTTACCAAACTTATTTCAGATATTATGTTGTGTGGTGATAAGCATATAGATGATTATTCCCCTATGGCTCTTTTAAATGATATTCCTGATTCCTTTAGTGATGTGAAATCTGCTATTAAGTATGGTAGAGATAATGTGACTCTTGACATTGTGGTTAATGGTCTTAAGAGTAAGGAATTAGATTTAAGTCTAGGTCTAATTCGAGGCGTTGCTATTATTGTCACGAATCTGGTCATTTCATAAGAGACTGTCCTAAATATAGGAAAAATGAGCATAGTGAGCATGCTAATTTGACTACGTGTGAAGATGATTTAGGTGATGACTATTTGAGTCCTGTGATATCTGATTCTTTGGGTAAATCAGATTGGGTGGTAGATTCTGGTTGTACTTTTCATATGTCCTCTTTGAAAAATGTTTTTTCAAACTATAGAGAGATTGAGCATGGCTTTGTGTCTTTAGCAAATGAGAAGAAATGCAATGTGCTAGGAATAGGAGATGTATGCCTTAGGTTTTCTTCTGGTTATGTGCTTACTTTGAAGAATGTTAGGCATGTTTCTGAACTGTGCTGTAATTTGTTATCTTGTGCTTCTCTTGAAAATGAGGGTTTGAAAGGAAAATGGGGAAAGGGAATCATGAAAGTTGTGAAGGGTTGTTTAGTTGTTTTCAAAGCTGAGATGAAAAACAACTTGTATGTTTGTCATGCTGAACCCGTATTTGATTCTGTGAATTGTGTACAACCTTGTGTGTTAGGAAAACAGTCTAGAGTTGATTTTCCTGATCTGCCTAAGTGTACTAATGTGTTTGACTGTATTCATGCTGACTTGTGGGGTCCTTATAGTGTTTCCACTCATGGTGGGAAAAATTATTTTCTGACGTTGATTGATGATTTTTCAAAGAAAGTGTGGGTTTTGTTGATTGAGAATAAATCTCATGTTTTTAATGAGTTTAAAAACTGGAAAACCCTTGTTGAAAAACGAACCGGTAAGAAAATCAATTCTTAAGGACCACTGTCAGTTTTGATTTCTGTGATGATCAGCTTAGAGATTTATGTGATACTTTGGGTATTTCTATGCATAAATTTGTTCCCTCCACACCCTAACCGGATGGGGTTGCTGAGAGGATGGTTAGAACTTTATTAGAGAGGGTGAGGGCTATGCTAGCTTCATCTGGGCTCTCTAATAAGTTCTGGGGGGAAGCTATTTGTTATGCTGTTGATGTGGTTAATCTGTCCCCGTCTGTTCCCTTAGGAGGGAAATGCCCTGAATCTGTGTTCATGGGCAAACCACTTAACTTGCCAAATTTGAGAGTGTTTGGTTGTGCTGCTTATGTGAATCGTGTGAATGATAAATCTGAACCTAGGACTAAGGAATATGTTTTCTTAGGATATCATGAATGCATGAAAGGTTATAGGCTTTGGTGTAGGAGTGAAACTTGCTTCAATGTGTTGATGAGTAGAAATGTCATTTTTGTTGAAAATGAATTTCCTTGCTTGCTTTGTTCTCCTGATGTTGCTCTAAATGAGGTGGAGCATTTGCCTGTTGAAGTTCATTCCGATTTACTTGTTGAAACCGAACCCAAATTTGTGGATGAAAGTGATTTTCATGTTGAAAATAAAGAAAATAATATTTCTATTAAGGTGGAGCATGATATGAATGTTGTGTGCAATATGCTTGAGTTGCGTGATTGACATGTTATTAGAGATAGAGACATTAGGAAGCATGAGAGAAATAATATGTGCAATGTGTTTGACTATATTTCCTCTGAGTCTGCTTTAAATGTGCTTAATTCTCTTTTAATTGAAATCTTTGTGATATTTGGTATGCTATTTTCTTTGTGTTTTGAAAATGTGATACCAAGTGAATATGTGAGCTCTACCTGTGCTAGTTATAGAAATAATATTTTCTTTTATTTTCTGTGTACTTGCTTTGTGTGGTTGTTGGATTAGTTGGAATCCCCAACTTCTCCCGGATGCTTGCTTGCGTGGTCTATTAACATGTGTTGTGCTTGCTAATAGTTTTGTGATGGTTTTGGTTCTGAACTCGAGGACCGATTGGTAGAGTTCAGTCCATCGTGAATTGGGTTTGCATGGTAAGCTTGATCCGAAAGCGAACTTTGGTTCTCATCTATTACTTGTATGATCGCAATGATGTACTTGTAATGGTTCGGCGATGATGAGTCTCCTCACAAGTTTGTATTGCTACTCTACACCACCTAGGACCAATAAGGCGGAGAATGTTGGAGGTATTGGTCCTACCAAGGCCTCCCTTCCACTTTATTATTGACTTGCACCCCATGTTTACTCCCACTTTGGCATCTCTTGTTTTGAATCTCTCCTAACCAACAATATGGCCATTTTGACTTATGTGGAGTGACCCCTTTGAGATGTCCGCTGCCGTCCTCCTTGTCTTTGCATCACCTATGAGGCTGTGAGTGTCCTTTGTGTCTGCCAGCCTATTATTTAGTAGCTTTCTTTAATTCTTCCTTGTGAGAGTAGCCTGGGTGAGAGACTTCCCAGAGAGCAGTGTCCTTCTTCCTTCTTCCTTTGCTTTGTCTGAGAGGGAGAGAATACCTTAGTGATAGAGAAGAAGCTTGGAGTTGTGTTGTGGTCTAGCCTAGGGTGGTGTGTGAGAGTATAGCAAAAGGGTTGGAGACCTGAGCTGGAAAGAAATCGACACCCAACAGTGGTTGTGATTTCGGGAAGGCCCGTTGTGATTGCGCCCTACGTTAAAAAAATAGATGCCCTTGTTGCGGCGTGGCTGCCAGGAACCGAAGGGCAGGGGGTCACTGACACCTTGTTTGGGGACTACGGATTCACGGGCAAGCTTTCCCGGACATGGTTCAAGACGGTGGACCAGCTGCCAATGAACGTAGGATACGAGCATTATGATCCACTCTTCCCTTTCGGGTTTGGCCTCACAACTCAGCCTGTGAGGAATTAGCAGTAGTTCAGGTCTACTGCTATGAATGAGCATCGTCATACACTCACACACGTAGTACATAGGTAACTGTTACATATATGTAACTTGTCAATGGATTCCCTTTTTTGTTTTGTTTTTTCTTCATTGTTTTTCTTTCCTTTTCCATGTAATTACGTATATCAAACCTTTGTTGACTGCCATGTCTAAATGTCTAATTCTTATGTCCATTGATTGCTTATTTTTAACTTGAGATTTTCAATAAATTTCAATCTAGATGGCGCTCTTGCAGTATATTGTTGTCTCGTGTTATATTAAGCAGCTTAATTACTCCATAAAGTGACCTATGGGGTCACTCTCGCATGGTATATAATCCATAACATTATTACACGTTCATGTATTACTGTATATGTTCTATGACAATGAAAAATACTTTAAATTGATATGTTAACCGTCAGACGATGCTTAACATCTCTCCCCCTTATTCCTATACAAATAGTAGAATTTCCCTCACTACTGTGGATCCCTTCTCTCTTCTTATCTTTCAAACATAGAAAGAATAACTTCATTGATGACTCCAAATTCCAAAATTAAAGTTCTATTCTTGTACAATCTAAATATATATTTATGCAAAATGTATGAATCACCACTGGCTTGAATTTAGCCCAAAATGTTAATATTTTTTGCAGTGTTCCCCATATACATTTTTAGGGATTCATTCATGGAATCCCGTATTGCAATACCTTCATCTGTAGCTAAAAAGTTGTAACTTCTAAAAATATCAATTCTCTCAGCACATATGACCAACTCAGTGGCTGGACCTAATTTGTTGGTGACATTCTCAAGGAGTTCAAGGGCATGAGGAGTACCCTTCTCTTCCAGGAACTTGATCACCATCTTCTCAAGTGGTGATTCAGCAGAAATGTCAATCAATAGAGAAACCAGGTCAAGAGAAGGTACGGTTGGGTCGAACCCTGACAACTCAACTGTCTTGAGGCATTTGTGTTTGATTTTTGCTACAGCTTCACGCATTGGTGCATGATACGGTTCGTGCTTTTCGAGCCTTTCCTCTGCCTGCCACCAGAAGCCATCATATATGACCATTCTATGCATTGTCATTGTATGTATAGTACTATACTCCCTCCGTCCCGTAATTAAGTTCACAGTTTGACTTCACACAGATTAAGAAAATAAATTTGGCTTTACCGTGGAGTGCACTGTTTTGCACTGTTTGAACACTGTTTGACACTGTTTGACACTTTTTTGATGTAGATTATTTGCCAAATAAGGAATGTTTTGAAGTGTGAAGTTAATTTTGGGGCTGCCCAAAAAGGAAAGTGAGAAGTTATTTTTGGGACGGAGGGAGTAGTATGTATGCACAGTCACACATACATATATACTCCGTATGTACAAAACTACAAATATTCATGTCAGAAATTTTCTGACCCCCCTCTATTTGAGGTGCGTCTGAGTGGATTTTTTGAATGAAATTTTGTGAGCATGTTTTTCATGAAATATAGATTCTGCCCACAAATTTCAGCTTAAAATTCACTCCGTAAGTTAGTTAAATAAATTGTTGAAAGAAACTGTGTTATATATATATATATATATATATATATATATATATATATATATATATATATATATATATATATATATATATATATATATAGGGAGCGGTTCCGGTAAGAACGGACTCCCAAGACAGAAATGAGAATGAATCTGGACCGTTGGATTGTATTATGTGGAACTGAACTGTGCATTTGGTGAAACTGAAATGTGCAGAATAAAAATTTAAACTCAAGTGTGCATTAGGTGAAATTGAAATGTGCGGAATAAAAGGTACAAATAACATCACATCGTACCTTTTATACTGCACATTTCAGTTAAAATGTATGGAGTATGCTCTAATGTCATGAAAGGATTATATTTTTGAGTCAATTCCCTAAAAAGGACTAAAAAGTGGCAAAATTGCACAAATAGGACTACATTTTTTAAATTCCCTTAATAGGACTATTTATGTGTGTTTGGCCAAATATACCCTTGTAACTTGTGAAATGTCTTAATTAATAATAAAATCATACAAAAATAATAAAAATCGAAAAAAAATAATAAAATTCGTAAAAAGATAATAGAAAATTAATAAAAATATTTTTTAAAAAAATTTAAAAAAAAAATTTAAAAAAAAATTAAAAAAAATAAAAAAAAATCGTAAAATTAAAAAAAAAAACATTACCGCCCCTGCCACCACCAGCTCCCATCACCGGAGAAAAATATGCCAACATTTTAAATAATGCCATAATGATGGCATATTCAATGAAAATGTTGGCATATTGAAGAGTAATTATGCGATCTTTTTGGCATTTTCAGAAAAAGATGGCATTTTTTTACCAAAAGTGGAAGAAATTTCACCAATCGGAGGTGGTGGTGCTGGGAGGCGGCGGATGGCGGTGGGAAATGTATCCATATTTTTTTTCATTTTTTTATGGGTTTTTACTATTTTTTATTATTTTTTAAAAAAAAAATTATAAAAATAAAAATTAAATTTTTTATTTTATAAATGTTTTATAAATTTTTTATAATTTTTTTACGTTTTTTAAATATTTTTTACGTTTTTTTATGATTTTATTATGAATTAAAGCATTTCATTATGAATTAATACTCTTAGGGGTATTTAGGGTAGAAAATCTATGTTTAGTCCTATTTAGGGAATTTAAAAAGTAGTAGTCCTATTTGTGCTTTCAAGGAACTCATTAGTCCTATTTAGGGCAATTTCCGTTTTAAGAATAAGCAAGTATAGATAATCCCCTATTTGGCTATTTGACTAAAGTAGTGTTTGCGGTTGCTTAAAAAAGCGTTTTTCAGCTTTTGGCTTAAAAAAAGCTAAAAAGAGTGTTTTCAAATGACAGCTTCTGCTTAAATTAATCACCTAAAAGCTAAAAGATGGAAGCAGGTAGAAGGGTGCTTCAAACTGCTTTTCACTTTTTCTATTACACAAAAAGTACTTATTTTACCAAACATTACCAACTTTTACTTTTTCAGAATCACTGTTTTCTCAAACACTACCAACTTTTACTATTAATCACTTTTCCCAAAATTACTTTTAAAAATCATTTTTTTAAAGTTGAAGCAATTGCAAACACTTCCTAAATGTCATATGCTTTAGAATTTTGTGCTACTAGTTTTTCTTTCAAGGTTCCAGCTAGCATAGGGAGTGCGTACGTACCATGGCTTTCGGCCACCCCGCACCCAGTAAAATAATCTGCCCAATGCAAAATGAAAAGATATATACGGCATGAGAGAGATATATCAAAATAAATTCAACGACTGATATGCACATTAATCATCCTATCATACATACTAGTCGGACTCTAGCTTGATTCTCTGTTATCATAAAGCAATATAATACTCCTCTCTCCATTTTTATTTAATCAAACACTATTTTTGAAGTCAATGATGTTAAAATAATATTGGACCAAAATTTATCATATTTGATTGGAAAATTCAAAGATGACTAAATAAAAACGGACGAAGATATAATGATTATAGACGACTAGTGTGCTTCAAAGCTCCGCTCCATGTAATCTTGTGAAACTCCTATATTAGTTTAGAAATCTTGTGAAATGCCTAAATTAGTTTCCACATAGTCTATCATTCAAATGACGAGTTATTTTAAAATCACTGCAATAGACTTTGACACAATAATTAAGGAGAATATAAAAGCACTAATAAATATTGTAGAAATAGTACACTACAAAAAGGTCATAGGATTGGCCCTATCAAATCCTTCCTGATTTGTTTTCAAATCTCCGCCAATTCCGTGTGTTTTTTTGTAGTGCTAGTAGCATTTTGACCTTGGTATTTGGGAGCTCCAATAGATAATTGAGTATTTTATTAAAAAAATTACAAATATAACAAACTTTAAAATATTGAAAGAGTGTGTTAGAGGCTTAGCTTCCACCTTCGTATTTGAAAATTATACCGAGTAAATAAGGATGAGAAACGAACCTCCATCTTGAACGTGCATAAGGACGGAGCTGCCTTTACCAAAGTCAAAGGATAGACAAGGCTAGCATGACCGGCTTCTTCCCATCTCAATTCCACATGCTTCAAATAAATCATTTTTGGAAAGTTTTCTGGTATGCGTCTGCGGTACCTCTAACAAACGATGAGAATAAGTCAAAATATAAACTAGGGAAATTATGGGTTAAAATGTTTGTGTATTTCAAAATAGGACTATGATGCTTTTATTTCTTAGATACGAATAATTAATGTTTAAAATTAAAGGTAAAGTTCCTGAAATGGGACTAAAAAAGTTCGAAAACTTGGACATATAAAAATAATACACAGACGTACGTACCGCATCACCAAAATAGTCTATTGCTAGTTTCTTGACATGCTTAAAATAGTGGACGTGTCTTTTCGGGTAGGATAGAAAGCTTAAACCATAGTCCATCCCCAGAGTGAGATCGGAGATAGAATTAGAAACGTGCTTAAAAGGAACCTGAATCATATTTCCGACATAAGCGAACGATTCGAGGTTTGGCGCATAGATCTCCATTTGTACGAGACGAAGACAGTGTAAAATCTCAAGTGACTTCAACCTTAAAGATGGGGGGCCAACAATTTTGAAAGCCATTGCTTTTGACCTTTCAATGCATAGATGTTCAAGCAAGGGGCAGTTGGATAACAGATATTCCACAGCGTCTGAGTAAATTTCAACGGATCTTAGAGTGAGTGATTTCAGCTGGGAAAAGGGAGCCTCCCCATTATCAATCTTCAAATCCCAACCAGAATATATGAGGTTGTTAGGGTTCTTGATGACTTGTCCCAAATTTGGGAGTAGAAATTTGTTAGGCTGAAATAAAAATTAGGACAATTGTTAATTAAACCTGTTTTACATTTCCATTAGTAAGATGTAAGAACTAAACATGCATTTTATAGTAGTATTTCATAACATATACGAGTATATTACATAGACACCGATCATGTAAGTTAGGCGTAAAATTTAAAATTTTCGGCTTCTTTTATTAGAGCAGCTGGGCCAATTTTTTTGATGAAATGTATATAATGTCCACCTAATTTTAGCTTGAAATTCATTCCGGGAGGCAAATAAATAAATTACTAAAAATTATACAGATTTATACTTCGTATATATAATGCAATTTTTTCAATACTATGTATACACACATACACACACACATATACACACACAAAACAAATATTCATGTTCAGGTAGGCCGGACAGGACCGCCGTCCGGCCACATCATTTAGAAAAAAAGGATGACACTCCATCCCTGAGGGCCCCCCACCACCGACCGGACGACACGATGGGAGGATGTAAATTGGACTATAATCACAATCTGACATATAGAGAGTGGGGCTCTGTCCCCGGTACGTGCAGAGGCCCTATGCATTTTTCAGCATAGTAACCCCTCATCGCAGTTGCCGGGATTCGAACCCGAGACCTAACCCTTGTGGCACTCCCTTGCTACCAGTTGAGCTACGCCCACCGGTAAACTAAGGTATGGGTAAACTTTTTATAGTGACTAGCTCCACCGCTTTCACGGCCCCTTACCCCAGAAACCCAACTTTGGCTTGGCCCTATGGGTTAGTATACACCGCTTGGCCCTATCACTTGACGCTTTTTTGGGGAGCATAGTTCCACTGGTGCTAGTGGGACTCGAACACGAGACCTCTCCTATGCAAGGATAACCTCACAACCAGCTTGGCTGGAAGTGATGGTTTAAAACTAAGGTATGGGTAAACTTTTTATAGTGACTAGCTCCACCGCTTTCACGGCCCCTTACCCCAGAAACCCAACTTTGGCTTGGCCCTACGGGTTAGTATACACCGCTTGGCCCTACCACTTGAAGGGTTTTTTAGGGGAGCGTAGTTCCACTGGTGCTAGTGGGACTCGAACACGAGACCTCTCCTATGCAAGCATAACCTCACAACCAACTAGGCTGGAAGTGATGGTTTAAAACTAAGGTATGGGTAAACTTTTTATAGTGACTAGCTCCACCGCTTTCACAGCCCCTTACCCCAGAAACCCAACTTTAGCTTGGCCCTACGGGTTAGTATACACCGCTTGGCCCTACCACTTGAAGGGTTTTTTAGGGGAGCATAGTTCCACTGGTGCTAGTGGGACTCGAACACGAGACCTCTCCTATGCAAGGATAACCTCAAATCCAGCTTGGCTGGAAGTGATGGTTAAAGGCCACATCATTTAGAGGTTGTTCCCGTTGGTAGGCAATAAAATGATTTTTTGAAAATAAATGTGTAGAAATATACATATAAAACGTAATTTTTTTAAAAATTTATTTGATTGTGTACCCGATTGAGTATTTTGTAAAATTTGAACAAAAAAAATAATTACCTCAAAACAACCTCAAAAGAAGGTGGCCCGACAGACTCGTTCATGGGGAATATTCGTGTGTGTTTTTGTCTCTCTGTGTGTGTACATATATCCGGAGCACATATACTTTTATAATTAACCAATTTGCTTATTTTATCACATAATTTATACTTTTGTCTGATGAGAACCTGCTAGATCAGCGGCATAGCAAGAGAGCACGTAGGAGGAGTACACGGTTAGATGACTACGTGGCATAGGATAAGGACAGCTGCTGCCTGGGAAGTATCGTACACTATTATTTTCCATTACTTCTATTTTATTTATTTAATTATTCAAGTAGACTCCTAATAGATCATTACTATTTTATTTAGTAGACTCCTAGAATACTACTACTGCTATAGTTTTACTAATCTGAGGAGAGGTTATTCGATGTTCTCTTCCAGATCATTAGCTAGGTATATATACCCAACATTCTTTGAATAAAAGGCAGAGTATTTTCTTTAGCTAAAATTGGTCATCTATCACCGTGAGATAGAAGAAGGTCTCTTTGCACCGTGAGCAAAGAATTTAACCGATTATTGTGTTGTTTCTTTCATCAATTGGTATCAGAGCAGGTTTCGTTTGGGCGACGAAATAGCCATGACCAATCGGGAGAGATTCGAGCAACTGGAAACTTCAATCGCACAGATCACTGACTCAATCCACAAATTGACTATCGGCATGGAGGCTTTGAAGGAACGTCGATCTGGGAAACATCCGCAGTCATCGACCTCATCCACGCAGTCTGAATCTCCCTCCACACGACGGTCTGGACGAAAAAAACATCGGCGAATGGATACATCATCGTCGGAATCTTCTGCACCATCTCATACCCTACGACGATCTAGACGAAAGAAGCATAGGCAGGAAAGTACTTCGTCATCTGGACAATCGTCTACCAATTCAGACAGTAGCGATGGCAACTCAGGTCACCGAGACTCCAATCAAGATCGAATACAAGATCGTCTCAGAATAGACTTTCCAAAATTTTCAGGAGATAGTGTCGTGGTGTGGCTAGATCGTGTTCGACAGTATTTCTCAGTTAAAGGGGTGCAAGGAAATAAAAAAGTCATGTTAGCATCCTTCCATCTGGAAGGTGAAGCCAACGAGTGGTGGCAGTGGTTTTCCACACAACAACGCCAAGGAGCCATAACCTGGAAATTGTTTGAAAAAGGAATCATGAGACGCTTCGGACCAACCGATTTCGAGGATTATGATGAATTACTAAGCAAGATACGGCAAATCGGGACGTATAGAGAGTACCTGCGTGAATTTGAGCGACTATCTGCTCGTGTCACGGGCTGGACACCTAAAGCACTTCTTGGGACATTCTTGGGAGGGCTAAGAGAAGACTTATCCTTGGAAGTCCGTTTTTTTAGACCCCGGAAGATCACTGAAGCAATTGAGATGGCAAGAAGAGTTGATGAAAAATTCCAGAGAGGAAGAAGAAGTATGCCAATAGTAAAGTCCATGACAGCCCAGAAAAATCCCACACTTTTACTAGCAGAGCAACCGACCATCTCCGCTTCAAACAACGTCAAGGCTGGAACATTAAAGCAGGGCCGCCGGGTAACCGTGGAAGAGATCCGAGCCAGAAGAGAGAAGAACTTGTGTTATAACTGTGATGAAAAATTTGTGCCCGGTCATCGGTGCCAAGCATCACAATTCATTATTGAAGTTGCAGGGGAATTAGAAAATTGCTCAGAAATAGTAGAAAAAAAGGGAACTAGCTCGGAGGAAACCATTGAAGACTCGCATATTTCTCTACATGCTCTGGCCGGGGGAGTGGATGCACGAACAATGCGGGTTCATGGTATCATCAATCACCAAAAGTTGAACATACTGATTGATTCGGGTTCCACGCATAATTTTATCAATCAGGCCATTGCGGGGAGACTGAAACTCCCGGTCACAAAAGTTCGTCCTTTTGCAGCCAAGGTTGTTAACGGAGATCGCTTATGGTGTTCAGAAAAATATGAGTTCATTACTATGACCATCCAGGGATACACCTTTAAGACCACACTTTACGCCCTTCCCATCACAGGGATGGATCTTGTCCTCGGAATACAATGGTTGCAGAGTCTCGGTAAAATTACAGCAGACTATATTCAAATGACCATAGAATTTATGAGTGAAGGTGAGAAGCATATTATTAGGGCTAATACAACGGGTCCAAGTCAGGTGGTTTCCACTAATGCCCTAATACAAGAATGGCAGTCTGAAGCTGAAATTTTCGTTATCATGGCACGAGGAACGACATCAAAAAAAGAAGAGGGAATGTTCATGTTATCAGAAGATGTGCAGCAAATCATAAATCAGTTTCCTCAGGTTCTGGAAGCAAAAAACACATTGCCGCCACACCGTAGGTATGATCATCGAATACTGTTGAAGAACGAACAGCAGGCCGTCAATGTTGCACCGTATCGTTATGCTTACTACCAGAAGACCGAGATTGAGAAGCAAGTCAATGAGATGCTTCAAGTCGGTCTTATACGTCCCAGCAACAGTCCATTTTCATCACCCGTTTTGCTGGTAAGGAAAAAAGACGGGTCGTGGCGGTTCTGCACAGACTACCGGGCCCTTAATGATGCAACAATCAAAGATAGATTTCCCATACCTACCATCGACGACATGTTGGATGAACTACACGGCGCTCAGTATTTTTCTAAACTTGATTTGAGATCAGGATATCATCAGATACGTGTCCATCCAGACGACATCCATAAAACTGCTTTCCGGACTCACAACGGACATTATGAGTATCTTGTCATGCCTTTTGGTCTCTGCAACGCTCCATCCACATTTCAGGCAGCCATGAATGATACATTTCGCCCTTACTTGAGAAAATTTATAATGGTTTTCTTTGATGATATCCTTGTATATAGCAGTTCAAGAGAGGAACACATGAACCACTTGTACACAACCTTACGGATCCTTTCACAGAATCAGTACCATATCAAGCCGTCCAAGTGTTCTTTCGCTCTTCAGGAGGTTGAATATCTTGGGCACTTTGTATCCAACATGGGTGTACGGGTTGATCCACGGAAGATTGAAGCCATGATTCAATGGCCTGTACCAAAAACTGTCACGGCATTACGTGGTTTTTTGGGACTAACAGGCTATTACAGAAAGTTTGTCAAAAATTATGGCCTCATTGCACGCCCATTAACACAGCTTTTGAAGAAGGGAAAATTCCAGTGGGATGGTGAAGCGACAGCAGCCTTTGAGGAACTTAAGAAAGCCATGACATCTACTCCTGTTTTAGCATTACCCGATTTCACCACCGAATTCACAATTGAGACAGATGCATCAGGGTTTGGAATAGGAGCAGTTCTGATGCAACGAGGGCACCCAGTTGCATTCATGAGCAAAGCCTTGGGGTTAACTAAAAGCTCGTGGTCAACATATGCAAAAGAGATGCTAGCGATTTTGGAGGCAGTACGCACTTGGCGACCCTATCTGCTAGGGCGTCGGTTTACAATATGCACGGATCAGAAGAGCTTACGCCACCTTCTTGAGCAAAGGATAACGACACCCGAACAACAAAAATGGATTGCAAAGTTACTTGGGTTTGACTATTCTATAATTTACAAACCTGGGTCTAACAATAATGCAGCAGACGCACTTTCCCGGCGAGATCTATCTGATACTGCTGATCTCGCAACATTAACTGCAGTTACTGGGCCGTTATGGTCAGTTTGGGAAGATATTCGCAGGGGGACAGAAAAGGATTCACACCTTTAGAAAATTAGAGGTGATATACAACAAGGATTGCCATCTGCTGAGCACTATGAATTACGAGATGGATGTGTCTTATACAAAGGGCGTGTTCTGGTACCTGACAATGTAGAAATAAGAAGCCAACTCCTTAAGGAGTTTCATGACTCGGTAAGTGGGGGCCATTCGGGAGCACTTCGCACCTTCCGTCGGTTGAATAAAACATTTTCATGGGAAGGAATGCGATCAGCTGTGACTAAGTATGTCAGCAAGTGTGATGTATGTCAGAGAGCTAAGACAAATTCATTGTCACCAGCAGGATTGCTATCGCCCTTACCAGTCCCTACAAAAGTCTGGGCTGACATTAGCATGGATTTTGTTGAAGGGTTGCCAAAATCACGGGGAAAGGATACCGTGCTGGTCATTGTGGACCGATTCACCAAGTATGCTCATTTTATAGGTATGGCCCACCCGTTCACCGCCAAGGAAGTTGCTGCGGTATTTGTGCAGGAAGTGGTTCGCTTACATGGTTTTCCCGAAACCATCGTGAGCGACAGAGATAAAATCTTCATGAGTCTATTTTGGAAAGAATTGTTTCGTCTCCAAGGAACAACATTAAAAACCAGTTCTGCTTACCACCCTGAAACCGACGGCCAAACAGAGGTCGTAAATAGGTGTTTGGGACAGTATTTGCGCTGCTTCGTCCATCATTATCCATCAAAATGGATTAATTATTTGCCTTGGGCCGAGCTTTGGTATAACACTACTTATCATCGATCCTTGGATATGACGCCCTTTGAGGGAGTTTATGGTAGATCACCTCCCATGCTTCGTTCTTATGTAGGAGATCCCTCGCCCCTGGCAGAAGTGGATAAAGAATTGCGTTCCAGGGAGGAAGTGATCCAAGTACTACGCAACAACCTGTTACTTGCTAGTAATAGAATGAAACAATTGGCAGATGCAAAAAGGAGAGAAGTTCACTTTGAGATCGGGGACCTAGTATATCTCAAATTGCAACCATTTCGACAACAGTCAGTCTTCCGACGAGTCAGCCAGAAATTAGCATGTAAATTCTACGGTCCTTTCAAAGTTATTGAAAAAGTAGGTGAAGTGGCATATTGACTAGCATTACCGGATGCCTCTCGAATTCATCCGGTATTTCATGTATCTCTCCTAAAGAAGTGTGTTGGGGCTGTAGAAATTACTAGTCCAAAGCTGCCACCATATTCTGAATATGGCCAACCTATATTTGAGCCAGAAGCTATCATACGTATCCGAAAAGTAAGAACTCCTACTGGGATAATCCGAGAGGCTTTAGTACGATGGCTGGGCCTTTCTGATGATGATGCAACCTGGGAACCGGTTGAGAACTTGCAGCAGCAGTTTCCGACTATTAACCTTGAGGACAAGGTTCAACTTCAAGGGGATGGCATTGATGAGAACGTGCTAGATCAGCGGCATAGCAAGAGAGCACGTAGGAGGAGTACACGGTTAGATGACTACGTGGCATAGGATAAGGACAGCTGCTGCCTGGGAAGTATCGTACACTATTATTTTCCATTACTTCTATTTTATTTATTTAATTATTCAAGTAGACTCCTAATAGATCATTACTATTTTATTTAGTAGACTCCTAGAATACTACTACTGCTATAGTTTTACTAATCTGAGGAGAGGTTATTCGATGTTCTCTTCCAGATCATTAGCTAGGTATATATACCCAACATTCTTTGAATAAAAGGCAGAGTATTTTCTTTAGCTAAAATTGGTCATCTATCACCGTGAGATAGAAGAAGGTCTCTTTGCACCGTGAGCAAAGAATTTAACCGATTATTGTGTTGTTTCTTTCATCATTGTCCATTACTAATTGGCTTACACATCACTCATAGTTCCATATTAAGGACAGTACTTAATTGTTCCTCCTAAAAAAGTATTGCCTCCCTTTCTTTTTATCTAGCCAACTGTAACTTTTTTTGGTCAAAGATGATAAACTTTGATCCATTATTTTAACTAATATATTTATGCAAAAGTTAATAAATTTATACTTTTATAATAGTATTTTCAACAAAGAACATTTTCACATAATTTTCATATTATAAATATTATTGTATATAAATAGTGTTTGGTTAAATAAAACCTGGAGGGATGATTGATGTGTAGAGTATGGCGTGTCTCCCGGAGTTGACGACAAGTCCAACTCAAACCTCTGGACCTTCTTCTCAATGGCAAACTTAACCCATCTCTGCATGTGTATCGAGTGCTCCCTAGACAGGTCAAACCTTATCCGAAGCTCTTCCAGGTGAGAAGAACGATGCAATTTCAACACACTACTCACCCACTTCACGTACTTGTACCTTTCGCCACGGAGGTTTCCGTTCAGCGGCAGAAGGAATAGTGTCTTCGAGGCGTCGAAGTCCCACCGGCGGTAGGTGTACATCCACAAGTATCTCCATCTCCGGGAAAGGGTGCTGCTTTTCGCTGCTTCTTTCAGGGACAGGAATGATAGGATATGAACAATAACTTCATGTGCTAGATCGCTTATCCTGTCATCGTCCGGCCACCTCATACATGGACCCCTCACTCTCTTGCACTGAGGAATGAGATGCATGACAGATAAACCGCGCAAAAATTATAATCAGTTAAATTAACAAATAACCCAAGTCAAATTAAAAGGCTTTAACAAATCTACTATTAGAAAGGGAAGCAGTCCACTAATAACTACTAAAAGACGATTATAACTACTTAGTACTCCCTCTGTCCCATTAAATAGTTCCCAGTTTGATTTGAATTGGAGTTTAAGAAAATGAGAATAAAGTGGAAAGGTGTGATTGTGGTTGAGTAAGAAAAAAGTAAATGAATAGGAGCTAGCCACACAAAACTTTTCAAAAAGAAAAATGGGAAATGTTTTCTGGGAAAACCCAAAAAAGAAAGTAAAAATTATTTTATGCGATGGGACCTACTCCCTGAGTGCTCTTACTAAAAAGATATTTGATTCTAAATTATGATTAAACAGTTTTTATGACTAAAATATAGACAAAGTGCATATAAAGGTTTAATTTATGTATATTAAACAATTATACATGGGAGTATTTATACACACAAGCTTTTTGATGGCTTCGCCGACCTGGAGTAGGAGGAAACCGGGAAAGAGAGAACCCAAAAGTATAAGTATAGATTGTCGGCAGTCATGGTTTTAAAAGGCGTTTCGCATCTACGCCTTAGAGGCGCAAAGGCGCTAACAAATAGCCTGCAAGGCTTAAGCCTTACCTTCCACTAACAAGGCTTACGCCTTTTTTTTCCTGAGGCGGTGATGCGGTCCCAGTGCGCAAGGCTTAGCTGAGGCGTACGCATTTAATTAAATACAGCTTGGGCTTTTTTTTGAACTATTGGGGGCCTTTATTTTTAAAATTTAAAAAAATACCTGCAAGTTTAGGCGACACACGACATCCCAAGTTCGGATATCGCTGCCTTCCACTACTTTGATATTAAGAAACGACTTGAAGGCTTGAAGGTGAGTAACCTCGACCTTTCACAGCTTTAAGTAAATATAGTAAAATATCCCACCGCCTACAGCCTACTTGGCTACTTCTATAGTTTGTTGTAGTTGTTGTTTAAGTTTATTTATTTAACTTTTTAATTAATTTAAAGTTCAGGTCTGAAGTGTACTAGTCTGCAACGTATTTAATGCCTTTTTAGCCAGCAAACTATAAAAATATCTCACCGCCCAACTACTTGTTAGTTGTTATGACTTATGCTATAAAGTATTATTATGATTAATTTATTACTTTATTTCAATGTTATTAATTTATTACTGTATTATTGGCCTACAGTTTAAACCTTAAAGTGATCATAAAACTATCAATTAGCTTATTTTTTTTTAAAATACGTATCACATACTTTATTACTAGTTTACTTGGATCAAGATGTACAATTTAATTTAATCAGAAATATTATAATTAACTTCATTACAGTTTGGTTATATCTAAAACTCTAAGCTTTTATGTTTTGTCTTAGAATTTTAGTGTTTTATGTTCTTTTCAAGGTCGTCTTTTAGGAGGTGCAATAGGTGCTTGGCACCGGGGCCTAGTCTTGTAGAGGGCCTCCAAATTTTTAGAACTTAGTATTAGGTTGATTTTATTTTCAAAAAAAAAAAGTATTAGGTTGATTTTAGTTATAGGTTGATTTTTCTAGATGTTATACACCGTTCAAGATTTCAAAAGATATGTAACTTTTAGATTCTCTAATTTGTATTTTAGATATCATAAAACTTATATTTCATTGAACTGTCAAGTGTAATTGTATTTTGTTGTTGAGATTTGTATTTTTTTTCTTGTTTTAGGGTCCTCAATTTTTCATTTGGAACCGGGGCCTCCAAATTCATTAGACGGCCCTGGTTCTTTTGAGTTTTGACTTTGGTATTTCAATTTTATGTTATTCTGACTTGGATGTTTTATTGTTATGTTATTTTTACTTGTGATTTTGTTTAGCTGTGATATTGTTTAACATTTAAGCAATTAATTTCGAGGCTTACGCCTTGTTACGCCTCGAGGCTTACGCCTCGTGAAGCTACCATCAAACGCCTCGGGGCTCGATTTCGCCTTTCAAAACCTTGTCGGCAGTGACTGCAAATGGAATTCTGAAGCTTTCGGATGATAGCACTTTTGATAGTATGTACCTCCAGACAACAGCTTATCACATCTTCCGGGTCAGGAGGACCTTCGAGACAGATCATTTTTTCTCAGGGGCAACTGCACCTTGCTCCAGATGGTCTCGATGACAGCCCTGTGCAGTCGCCCATTCTTGTTACAGTAGATGAGATCTCCCAACTAGGTGAAGATAATGCATCCCATGCAGACAACAGATCGACGAAGTCAGATAGTGTGGGGGTCTGAATTCTTGAGACGTCCATATGTTGACATGATGTGATGTCGCCATCCTACCTTCACAATAGATAACTTGAGGTTGGTGGGGCATTTAGTCGGCCGCGATTGCACCCGTGTACCTCCGGAACGCACTAATAATCTTACCAATCCTCCCTCGGACATGTTCTTCAGAGCTCATATTGCGTCCCTAAAGCGAGGCATACAAATTATGTTGTGTCCTTTCCTAGTAGTGCTCCTTAGGCATCTCAAGATAACGTTCAGCCAGATGACACGCTTGCCCACATGTTCACAGCTGCCTTTGTGTCCCGTTGTGAGAAGACATCAATCCACCCATCTTTGCATTTGTTTGGTTACTACTTTTAGATGGACGTCCTCTCGCAGCGAGACACGAAGACAGATGTGAGCATGTGAGCAATCAGAGTTATCTAGCTCAAAGTTATCTTGAGATGCTTATGGAGCACTAATAGGAAAGGACACAGCCGGATTTGCACGCCCCGCTCTATGGACACAATATGAGTCCCGAAGAACATACACGTAGGAGGGCTAGTAAGAGCGCTCTAGAAGTAGAAGGGTGCAGTCACGGCCGACTAAATGCTCCACCAATAGCAAGTTCTCTGTTGTGCTAGTAGGATGTAGACATCCCATCGTGTCAACATGTGGAACTCTCGAGAAGTTAGGATCCCCATCACTATCTGACTCAATCGATCTGTCATCTGCTTGGGATGCATTATCTTCATCAGGTTGGAAGACCTCATCTACTGGAGCAAGAATGGGCAGGTGCACAACACTGTCACTGAGACCATCTGGAGCAAGGACTAGACTCCCCTAGGTAATAATGATCCGTCTTGAAGGTCTTCCTGATCCGGAAGATGTGATAAGTTGCCGCCTGGAGGTACAATCATCAGGGCTATCAATAGAAAACTTATGGGTTCCATTGCGGGGACTGTCGGCGATGCGAGCCTCCAACCCTAGCTTTGATCTCGGGTCTCTCATGCGTACCAATGAGTTGTGGATGACGTGCATACTCGCTGGAAGGGCCATCAACTCAGTTGTTCGGTCCAGCATGACATCGAGAAGAATGTATGAGCAACGTAGGGTTCCACACGTCAACCTGCACAAGCGGATGTTTAGTCCTGGAGTGTACGTGGCCTTCATTCAACTGCAGGGTCACGCCGCCAAATGCCTTATCATCCTTATCCTTCTTAGACCGCCGAGGCGACTACCTAGGGTTTCAGCCACCCTCGTTTTGATGCAGTCGGATTAGCTTGGCCTCTTCATCACGTGGACGTCATCGTATAGATCCTAGTGGGCTATCGTCAGCATGAGTAGTTGAGTACCTGCAGTCTGCTTCTTTAATCAATGTGAAGGTCGAAGGTCCGACATGGGAACCTTTACATCGAGGACATCCGCAGGGGCCACCTCTCAATGCATACGATGGCGTAGGGGCTCTTGACCGCTGAGTTAAGCAAGTGGTGACGGCAAAAGACTAGCGACCTAGTCACGTACGGTCAGGCGTGGAATTCTCCAGTGCAAGCGCGGACTAGGGCCACTGAAAAACTTTTTGACGACGCAGACTGTCTGGCTGTTACGGCAACTTGCTTGGACTTCGACTTTTTCTCTAGGATGATGTTGTTGGCGAGTTGCTGGAACTGCGACAATGACTCGAACCAATCGAACGCGTTAGCAATGGCGGCGCCATGGATACGGAATTGTGGAGGCGCGTAGGAGATGTTCGTGTATTTTAAAAATAGGTATTATGCTTTTGTCCACATGAACCAATCAAAATGATGCACTTGAATTATATAAATCTAAATTAAAAATGAATTAATGATTTGGACCAATCATTTGAATGGTAGGTACTACCACATTTTTTAAATGGATACTGGAGTTGTCATCTTAAAAATAAAAGGAATAATGAATTGGAAACTAAAAGTAGTCTAAAACATAGCTCCGGGCAATTTAAGAATTAAAGGAAATGAAAGTTGACCTGGACCGATTGTCCTCTAGGAAAAATGCCAAGTCTCGAAGCAGAGGCGGACCCAGTAAGGGTCCCATGGGGTCCCGGGACCCCGTGCACCTCGAAAAAAATACCTATATATATTATACATATATTATATAAAATTAATTACTAAGTGTATATTTACATAAAAAACGACCTAAGAATCAAAAGAATGGAGTAGGGGAACGGTAGCAACGCGTGTTTTAGATTTCTATGTTTGGGAGGGGTACCATGTTCGAATCCCCTATGCTCCTATTTTTTTTTTTTCAAAATTGTTTTCATCAAATAGACCAAAACTAAGTTGTTTTGGCCTATTTTAATTTTAATTAAATAGACCAAAACTTTCAGTGATGATTCTATTATAGAATATTTCCAACAAAACTTTCTCTATTTTCCAAAACTATTTTAATTAAATAGACCAAAACTACGTCGTTTTGGCCTATTTTAATTGAATAGACCAAAACTATTAGTGATGATTCTATTATAGAATATTTCCAACAAATGAAGCTCAAGAGGGTACATCTCTGGAATTGTTAAATGATTTTTATATGTATTATTTTGCTTTATAATACCTTAATGTATTTTGGGCTCCTTTTTTGTTTTCCAAAACTATTTTAATTAAACCAAAACTACGTCGTTTTGGCCTATTTTAATTAAATAGATCAAAACTATTAGTGATGATTCTATTATAGAATATTTCCAACAAACATTTTTTGTTTTCGAAAACTATTTTAATTAAATAGACCAAAACTACGCCGTTTTGGCCTATTTTAATTAAATAGACCAAAACTATTAGTGATGATTCTATATTTCCAACAAATGAAACTTAGAATTGTTGAATGATTTGTATATGTATTTTTTTCTTTATAATACCTTAATGTTTTGATGGTGTACGTTAACTATGAGGTGTTATGCTTCTTTAATATTTTTTATTAGTTTTATATTAATTAGAGATTAGAGATATAAAGGGGTAGGGACCCCGTGGTTCCGACTTTCTGGGTCCGCCACTGTCTCGAAGCTCTTGTAGAGTTGTAACTAAAGGCTCAATTTTTCCAATCTGAGGGTTTATATATAAGCATGGGAAGATCAAAGCTCATATTTAAAGATCTTAAGCCCGAATTGGCAAAACTGATGGAGAACATTGCTTCTGTTCCTTTAGCAAGCAATAGGGGTCAAAGAAGATGGCTGATCAAGACCCGGGGGCGGGCCACCCTTTGCTTTAATTTTTGGGTTGCACCCTTTTTCCTTAATTTTTTCCTGGTAAGGTTTTAGAAGCTTATTCTTTTGGTTCAAATTCGATTTTGAAGCAGTTAAATTGTTGGGATAAGGGTCAGATAGGGCCTCGAACTCGAAAAAAAAATGTCAAATAAGGTCATATTTCGGATGCTCTGTCTGGCCGAAGCCATTTGGGGCGGTTCCCGATGGAATTTTTTGATAAAATTTTTTGAACATCTTCCTCATTAAGTCTAGTTTACCCATATTAAATTTCAGCTAAAAACTCAACCGGGAAGGTAGTCAAATGAGTTTTTGAAGATAACTGTGAAGTTAAACAACGCCGTACATTTCGGAAAATTATTTGACTACCTTCCCGGTTGAATTTTTAGCTGAAATTTGGTATGGGTAAACTAGACTTAATGAGGAAGATGCTCAAAAAATTTCATCAAAAAATTCCATCGGGAACCGCCCAAAATGGCGTCGGCCAGTGAGAGCATCCGAAATATGACCTTATTTGACATTTTTTTTCGAGTTCGAGGCCCTATCTGACCCTTATCCCTAAATTGTTTGAATCCAAATTGAAACTACAATATACTTGGTTCAGTTTATGGTTTTTACTTTTTCTCAAATGTGATTCCCGCCCAATCTGATTCAAACTTATCTAATTTTGAACCAGTGCATATCCTAACATCACAACATCGAAGTACTCCTTTAAAAAAATCATTGAAGTACTATATACATAGACAGGACACTAGACCGAGCTCGACTTCTACAAAGAATATTTTTGAGAGAAAAATTATACTACCTCCGTCCCGCCGATGGACTTTCCCAAGTGCAAACTGCAAAGTAGGTGAGAAATAAGAATAGTAAAAACTGTGTGGTTGAGATTTGTGCAGAAGAAAGAGAAATGTGCAGAATCACAAATTAGTTGTTTTAATAGGAAGGTGACAAAGTTTTTCGGACAAAAAAAAAGAAAGTTGACAAAGTCCAATTGGACGGAGGGAGTACGAATTTTTTAAGATAAAAAAAAGGTGGCCTAGGTCCAGATTGCCTTATAGCTCCACCCTGTAAACGGTTTTGTACAACACTATATTTGGTCATCCAGACAACGGGAACCAGCGACTCAGCGAGCACTACAGGTTATGTAGTAAGTACTAACCCAATCAACTCCTAATGAATCCGGTAATCAATAATGTAGATACAATCATATGTAATTTGAATGTAGAAATAGCTACGGAGTACTTTTAATAGTAATTAAATAATGGTAATTTGTAACCAAATTAAAAAACCATACCTACATTCTAAAACACAATTAAAGAAAAAACAACTTAGGGGTGTTTGGAACTGATTCTGCTTCTGCTTCTTTTTTAAAGCAAAAGCAGAATCAGTTTTCAGAAGCTGGTACCCCCAGCTTCTAAAAAACTGATTCTGGGAGTAAATTAGAGCATCAGAATTGCTTCTGGAATTTCACCCAAACACTCCAGCTTCTGCTTCTGTTCCCTAAAGGAGTAGAATCAGTTTTGAGAATCAGATCCAAACACCCCTTAATAGCTAGGGAAAAGTGTAGAATTAGTCCCGTAAATTAAATGGATACACTGAGAGGCTCTCTCACTGATAAATTTGTCTACATTAATTTACCGTTTTTTAGTGGAAAATTTGATGTTGCATTGTTGCGTGAGACGTTTGTGTCGTTTGTTTTTTACAAAAATTGTGTGTAAAGATCTTGATTTATGTGCACAAAAGCATTAGTTACACACCATGATCTTAGCCAATGTTTTGGAACTAATACTGAACACAATTAAAAGTAACAAAATAATTAGGGATTCTATAAGTGGACTCTTACAAATATATCGCTCAAGCCATTGAAATAAAACAATCGAACTTTTATTACCTTCATGTGACGGTAAGACGATTTTTTTGTAAGATTTAAACAACGCCATTCGTGAGATCTTCCGGTTCAAGGTTTATGGATCATATCATTAATGATTTGAGGAAAAGTTCTATTTGTACCCGGGATTATGAGAGATAGAACATCAAAATTTGATGTTCAATTCTTCCCTCCTCTATAAAGCGGATGAAAACAAGGAGACGGTTTAGGGTCTGTTTGCAACAACTTTTGCTTTTAAAAAAGTGCTTTTTTTAATGAAATGGAGAGAAGTGATTAAATAAAAGTTGATAGTGTTTGAGAAAAAAGTGATTTTGAAAAGTAAAAGTTGATAATGTTTGGTAATCTAAGTGCTTTTTGTGTAATAGAAAAAGTAAAAGCACTTTTGACACGAAAGCCGAGAAAAATAAAAGTTGTAGTGTTTGGTAAAAGAAGTGCTTTTTAAAGCCAAAAGCTGAGAAGTGCTTTTTTTAAAGTGGTTGCAAACCAACACTTAGATCAGGAACACATGCGGATGTTTAAAAATAGTGAAAAATTCGACCTGTTCCTTAATTTGTTAAGCTAATTATACATCATCAAAATCAACGACTAAAGGGGATGTTTGGAACTATTCTGCTTCTGCTTCTTTTTTAAAAGCAAAAGCAAAAGCAAAAGCAGAAGCAGTTTTCTGATTCTAAAAAAACTGATTCTGAGAGTAAATTAGAGCTCCAGAAGTGCTCTGAAATTTCACTCAAACACTCCAGTTTCTGCCCCTAAAAGAGTAGAAAACAATGCATCAATCTAATTTACCTCAACAAAATCACAAATTTCCGACATCCCCGGATGCTTCTATTAATTGTAGGTGTGCCACGACCACCGTCCAGTTTAGTCAAAATCTCAGCCGTGCTAATTACTTCGTACTAGTCTTCATCATATGGCTTTATCTAAAAAGGCTTTAACTAGTACACCGTATAAAAGATAAACCCTAAATTAGGATTAGGAAGCTACTTAAATTATTAAATTCAAAGCATCTCACTTCCTAAAGGACTTTTAATTATTACTACGTATTATTAGGATTAGGAAGCTACTTAAAAATAATGGGCCAGTTGACTTCAATCTGGGGCTGAGGCCCAAATTACTTAGAACAGAATATCTCATAATAATAATCTCATAAAATTACTTTCCAATTAATTACCTTTGGCTTCTGTTTAATCATTCACCGTTCTTCCTAGTTCCTCCATATACACACAACATCCAGGTATCTCTTATGTTCTGTACTCCATCTTTTGATAATATCTTCCGTTAAGCATACGCAATTTTTTTTACTAAAGAACACACAGTTTTATAGAATTACATTATTTAAAATTTTGAATAGATCTTTACAGTTAAAACCAACGAACAAATGTAAAATTTTTAAACAAATAACAAAATTCTCCTCTCTTCAGAGTTCCAGAGTGGAACAAATTGTTATAGTAAAATTTTAACAACTACTCTAGGAATCACCATGTATGATGTATGCAGGGTTACAGATTAAGGCGTGCACATATACAAAGTGTTACGGAACCTTCCTTTCCATTTAAAAGACCCAAATTTTAATATTTTCGTCTATATGTTTGTTTAAAATTTCTATTCTAAATCCATATTGTGCATTACCCTTATTACATAAGACCCCAATTATTGTAATTAGCACAGCACCTCATATATATGTATGTGTGTGTGTCATGCTTGCTAAGTTGCTAGATGCATCAAACAGGATTGTGTAGAGGTGAAAGTCTGTTTTGGTCTTTTGGTCACGGGTTCAATTTAATTTTATTATCTGTGTTAACTATTAATTTTAATCTTTAGAACTTAAATTTGTTCGAATGTAGATATTATACTCACTTTCTTACATTTAAGTTTTTATCTAACATTGAAAGTTAGTTCATTATTAAAAGTGGAGTTTTCATTTGTAAAATTTAACTTTTTGCACAACAGTTTAATTTAATACATGATCATAATGAATGAAAATATCTGCATCATTGAGTTATTTGTCCTTGAAAGTCCTAAAATGAAATACTCTTGAGATGATTTTGGTCAGGTACCCACGGAGATCCTCATGTTATATATGTATGTGTCTATACAAACACATACACATACTCATACGCATACTCACACATATATCATGTATCGATTCATTTAGCTGACACCAAAATCTTTTGGGGCTGAGGTTTGGATGTTGTTGTTTCGATATAAAAAGTCTATCAACTAAAAACGTGCATCTAAGTTGTTTATAATAGTTTGGTTGTACATTTCGTTTTTAGCACATTATACAACCAACAATTAATGCTTGATCAACACTCTATGAATTCAGCATTAGCGCCTTTTCCTATATGAAATAATTCGAAATATATTATCCAAAATATGGATAGCGGAAACAAATGTGGCTTGGTAACTTTTAGTGACTATAATTATGTTCAAATATTACTTCTTAGTGACTATAAAAGCATGATCATAGTCACATTTTTGTTCATGAGTATGATTTTCGTAATATTTTAGCAAAAACATCTTCGTAATGGGTTTATATGCGTGTGAGTGTATTATATTTTTAGTGCCATTTGCTAGCTTGTGTTCTCCTTTTCTAAGGAATGCTTAAGTGCCATACCCAGATATGACGTCGTTTTCCTTTCCCAATCAATATGATTCATAGCATACTAATCTCTTGGTTTTTTTCACCAGCTCAGGATATGATAAGTCGGCTGAGCGATGAAGCTCTCATTGATATTCTTTCATATCTTTCCCTCAAAGAAGCAGTAATGACCAGTGTCCTATCTCGTAGATGGAGATACTTGTGGAGGTATACTTACCGCAGATGGGACTTTGATGTTTCAAATAACACTTCACTCTTCTTAATGTCATGCAACGGTAATCCTCGACACGTAGTGAGGTCGAAATACGTGCAATGGGTTAGTACTGTCCTGCAATTGCATCTTGGTTCTCATCTGGATGAGCTTAGGATCCGCTTTGACATGGACAATGTGATCAGGAATTCACCAGGACTTGTGTGGTGGCTTGTTTTTGCCTGTCTAAAAAGGGTTCAGAGGCTTGAGGTGGACTTGTCAAATAGATTGGGCATCAATACTTTGCGAGAGGACAAGGCCCTTTTCCCTTCTCCAGCTGGTCTCAGTCTCTACCGCTGCTGCAAATTGAACCTCCCGCCATCTCCTTTCCCATGTCCTATTCTGGACTTCTCTTCCCTCATATCTCTTTCTCTAAATTATGTTAACGTTTACGCAGATACTCTTGCTCACTTGCTATCAAACTGTCCATTACTCCGACATTTAAGTGTTAAATCATCTGATACTATGTATTCTTCTAACAAGAATCTCCCGCCATTCAAGTCCACATCTTTGGAGTCTCTTGAAATTGTACAGAGCAATTTTATGCAAAAGGAAATGGAGATATGTGCACCAAACCTTGTCTCATTTGCTTTTGTTGGACGAAACATTGCCATATCTTTTAAGAATGCTGTTTCTTCTTCTCTCACTGAGCTCACTGTTGGCATGGATTATGGTGTGTCTTTTCTACTTGACCCCTTTAAGCAGCATTCCATCTTTCTTTCACAAATCGAGAAACTTAAAATGGTGTTTAACGATACTGCGGTATGTATGTATATTGATCATCATTGTTAATTCATTGCGCAGTTACTATTACCGTTCACTAAGCTGATTTTGTGTCTTAAAATTATTAGAGGTGTTTTTTGGGTAAAACCGTGCCAAGCAAGTTTCCAAATATGAATAATTTGAAATATTTGGAAGTGAGATGGGAAGCATCTGGCAGTAGCAGTTTCCTATTTCCCTTAACTTTGGTAAAGGCAGCTCCTTCACTGTGCACATTAAAGATAGAGGTTAGTACCTATTGCTTTCTTCTCTTGATTTAGGCATGCATCTCCCGTTCCATTACCTCCTGATACGTTTGTAATTTCCGTATGTTTATTTACGCTTTTAGTTAGTTTTGATTGTTTAATATTTCGGAAATTACACACTTTCGGTGTAATAGTTTAGTTTGTTAAATTCTTGTAATTTGTTTAGATTAGGTTTATTCTGAGCTTAAACAGGTCCAAGATCAATCAAATGATCAATGGTGAAGGAAGGTGCAAGAGTACAAGACAAAAAGAAGGAAAAATCCTGATTTTGGTCTATACTCGATCGAGTATATACATATACTCGATCGGGTATCTGGTTGACATTTCAAATCGGATCGGATCCGAAAACAAAGGAACATGCAGGAGAAGATTTTCCCACGTTCGAGTGTCTATACCCGATCGGGTATGCTTATATACTCGATCGGGTATGCATATAAAATCTACTCGAGTATTGATCGAGTATTGACCAAATTCTGATTTCTATACATACTCGATCGAGTATGTATACATACTCGATCGAGTACTCGATCCTGCACCTCAAAAAGCCTATAAATACACCCCCTTTCCTTCACTTTTAGATACCAATTCCTTTATACTCTTAAGCTCAGTTTAGAATAGAATTTATCTATATTTCTTTTAGCATGTTTAGTCTCCAAATGAGGAGCTAAACTTCCATTTCTTGGTATTGCTCTTGAAGCTTGTTGATTATTAAAGTTGTGAGTTATTTTCTTAACTTCTTTTCCTTGAATATTAATTCTTCCTTTAAATACTATTTCTATATCAATGTTGGGGAGTGTTACTAAGATGACAATTAGTTAACATCTTGACATTGGTTTTAGTAATAGCTATTCCTTCCTCTATGTTAATATCGGGGAGTGTTACTAAGATGACAATTAGTTAACATCTTGATATTTAACTATAGTAGGATTCATTCCCTTTTAATATTCTTCCTTGAGTATTAATTAATTCCTATTCATATTTCATATTAATATTTTGAACATTACTTAAAGGATCAACTAGTTTTGTTTCATATATTAATTACTACTAGATACGATCAACGAACCAATGGTAATCGTTGATGGGGTCACAAGTAAGTAACTTCGGTTTATTAATGCACGGTTGTGGTTAATAGACCTAAGAGGAATTAATTGTGTTGGTTAAACCAAAACCGCTTGTGTTGAGGTTATCGATCTCAATTGATTTCATCAAGGAGTTAAGCGATTAAATGCTACTATCAAGTCGGTATACGGCGCTTGTTCTATACTTGACTAATAGTAAGGGTTATTAATGAACGGTCGTTGTTAATAACTATCCTCGATGAATTGGATATACTCCTCGATTGAGTATTCGAGAGGAGATAAGTTATAGATATAACAATGATCGACCAAAATATATCAACAAGTGTAAAGTAGCAATACCAAGTCAATTTTATCTTTGAATTAAATCCCATATAAATCGTTCATCTTCGTGTTTAAATTTAATTAAATCACTCAACAATCAAAACCCCCCTTTACTTACTATTTATATAGAAAGAAAATTATTCCTTTCCCTGTGGATACGAACTCTACTTCACCTATACTACGTATAAGTGTTAGTATTGAAATTTATTTTGAGTGCACACACGACAAAGTGCACGTCAAATTTGGCGTCGTTGCCGGGGAAAGGCAATTAATTTTTCTTTTTATTTTATTCTAAGAAAAAAAAATATGGTTCAAGTATAAGGATTTCTATTTCTTCTGAGCTTTGTAGTATATGGTTAAATATCGTTCACTGAACGAAATCACCTACAAATCAAACCCCGAAATAGAACAAACTCTCGAGCGGTTGAAGAATAAATTCTCAAGCTCCGACTCGGGAGAATCATCAAGTGCTAGTTCTCAATCTAGCGAGACTGAAGAGCCAATTACTATGGCTAATGAAACGAGAACATTGAGGGAGCTCACGGCTCCGAATCTAGATCAACAACCCCTATGTATCACTTTTCCAACATTTGATACGGGGGTCACATTTGAGCTAAAATCTGGGCTCATTCATCTACTCCCATCCTTCCATGGCTTACGAGGGGAGGATCCGAACAAACACTTGTCGGAGTTCCACATTGTGTGCACAAGCATGTGCCCCAATGGTGTCTCCGAGGAGCAGATCAAACTGAGAGCCTTCCCATTTTCCTTGAAGGACACCGCAAAGGACTGGCTATTCTATCTTCCTTCAGGAAGTATCACTACATGGCCACAAATGAAGAAGGCCTTTCTTGACAGGTACTACCCCGCTTCTATTTCATCATCACTCAAGAAGCAAATAAGCAACATCGAACAAAAAGATGATGAATCCCTATATGAATATTGGGAGAGATTCAAGAAGCTATGTGCAAGTTGCCCCTATCACGGATACACCGAACAAGACCTCATCCTCTACTTCTATGATGGTCTTGTGGATCAAGATCGTCGCATGGTGAATGCGGCGTGTGGAGGGGGCATTGTCAACAAAACCCCTTCGCAAGCAAGAGATCTCATCTCGGAGTTGGCCGAGAACTCCAGACACTATAACGGGCGATCCTCAACTCGAAGAGTTATGGCGGCAGAATCCAACAACGCGTTGGAAAGTCAAGTGAACGGCTTGACAAGTCAAGTGACCGGCTTGACTTCTTTGGTTAAGGATTTCCTTCTAAAATCCAAGACCCAAGAAGTCAAGGTCTGCGGTATCTGTACACAACAAGGGCATCCCACGGACTCATGCCCAACTCTTCAAGAAGACACAACAGAGCATGTCAACGCCTTGGGTTTCCAAGGCCACCAACAAAGGAGGTATGACCCGTTCTCAAATTCTTACAATCCCGGATTGAGGGATCATCCAAACTTAAGGTATGGAAACCCTCAACAAACCAACCCACCTTCTCAATCGAGTATGTCTACGGAAGACATGATTCGAACTCTTGCTACTACCATGGGCACCTTACAACAAAACGTGGTGCAATTTCAACAAGAAACAAAGTCAAGCATTCAAAATTTGGAAACTCAAGTTAGCCAAATTTCGAATGCTGTAAATCGACTTGAAGCAAGAGATTCGGGTAGGCTCCCGTCCCAAACTGAGCAAAACCCAAGGCAACAAGTCAATGCCATCATGCTAAGGAGTAGCCCGGAATCACAAGCAAAGGAAAGTGAAAAAGAGGAGATTGACCACAAGGAGGAGGAGCCAACGAAGAGAAAATTTCCTCCACTATCATCATATGAACCAATCCCTCCATTCCCTGAGGCGTTGAAAGATACAAGGAAGCTAGAGAGTGATCGGCACATCTATAAGACCTTCGCCGATTGTGAGGTAAATACCCCACTCTTTAAACTAACCCAAAGTGTTCCCCGTTATGCAAAGTTTTTGAAAGAACTATGTGTAATAAAAAGAAAAGATAAATTAAAGGGGAAACCAAAGGTTGAAGTTAGTGAGCATGTCTCGGCCGTCTTTCAAAAAAAAATTCCAAAAAAATGTGACGACCCGGGCATGTTCACAATTCCTTGCACGATAGGAAACACCACATTTCCTAAGGCCTTACTAGATTTGGGGGCATCTATAAACGTCATTCCTTATTCCGTTTATAAAACCCTACAACTTGGCCCACTACATCAAACCGGTGTAGTGATTCAACTAGCAGATCGTTCTAGTACCTACCCAAAGGGTGTATTAGAGGATGTGCTAGTAGGAGTAGAGAATATGGTTTTTCCCGTCGACTTCTACGTCCTCGAAATGGGGAATGATGACCAAACGGCACCCATCCTCTTGGGAAGACCCTTCTTAAAGACCGCAAAAACAAAAATTGACGTGTCTAGTGGTTCATTAACTTTAGAGTTCAATGACCAAAAAGTAGAGTTCAATATCTTCGACTCTACGAAAAAACAAATTAAAGATCAATCTCTTTGCTCTTTGAATGTTTTTGAACCACCAACGCCAAATGCTTTAATTGAGTCGGGAACAAAGAAGAAAGGTCGGCCTTACTGGAAAAGGCAAAAGAAAAGAAATGAAGGAAGGGATGCTCACGATCCCACATAAAATAAAAATAAAAATAAATAAAACGTTGTGCCACGACGTTAAATAAGGCGCTTCTTGGGAGGCAACCCAAGTCAATTAGTTAGATTTTATTTCCTTTTTGTGTAAATTTGAGAGAAAAGAGAGAGAGGGAACTAATCACATGTTTGTTTTGAAGAAGAAGAAAATGCAGGTTTTGAAGTGTCTGGAGGCATACTCGATCGGGTATACCTCTTTACCCGGTCGAGTATGAACTGAAATAAGAAGAGAAAAAAATCTGTCTCCTGTACTCGATCGAGTACAGGTTGATACTCGATCGAGTATTGGTGGAAAAATGAAAGCAATAAGCCCCTGCCTCCTAGACCCGATCGAGTACATATCAATACTCGGTCGAGTATAAGTGGAAAATCAACTTTTCTATGCCCCTGCCTCCGGTACCCGATCGGGTATACAGGGATACTCGATCGGGTACCCCTGCGATTAATACCCAAACAACACCCATTTTTACTTCATCTTCTCCAAAACACTCCCAACTTCAAACCACTCTCCCCCAAAACTCCATTTTTCCACCTTCTCTCTACCAAACTAGACTCTTATCAACAACAAAAAGGCAAGTAAAACCTTCCCGTTTTCTTTGCCATGATGCTCTACGAGAATTAGGAGTCTATAAGAGTTGTAGAAAATTCTTTCATGCATTAGATATGGACCGTATTTTCAATATGAAATACAATTCTAATGAACGGATTATCTACGAATTCTTGAGTTCGGTGAAATTTGAAAGTGATGAGGCGGATTTTAGGGATGATAGACTCGAGTTTCGTCTGTTTAACCGAAATTATTCAATAACGAAACTCGAGTTTGCTGAACACTTTGGTATCCCGGTGCCCTACGAGAGAGCCATCTCGGATAACACCATTTTTGGGCACTCCCTATGGACAAAGATGACCGGGGAAGTGAGCTTTAAC